TGTGGCAGACTGGATGATGAGCCCTGAAACATTCATCACTGAACCTGTGTTACCTTTTATGCCAAAAGCTGTGCTGACATGACTACACTAAGGATTTCAATGTGGGAGATTATCCTGGCTCATCTGCCTGTGCCCAAACACAGTCACAAGTGTCCTTATCACAAAACAAGGAAGGAAGGATGTCGGCCAAAAGCCCAGACTCTCCTCACTCCATAAACAGCGACACAACAATTATCCACTCAATCTGCTTTGTAGAAAATCCTGAAGCCTCAGTAGGCTCCTGTACCCCAGCTGGGTGTAAAGTCAGATACCCAGGAAATCCAGCCAATCCCAGCATCTCCCCAGGAAGGAAGGGAAGGAGGGAGGCCCATGTGCATCCAACATCCCAGCTTTCCCAGAGACTAGCCCAAGAACTAGATCCCAACCTGACAGGACACAGGGAACTCCAGCTGCCCCCACATGACTTGAGCATGCAGTCACCAGGGCCATCCACCCCAGCCCAGCAGAGCCCTCCACCCAACTCCCAGGAAGGCAAGAGGTGACTTGTGCTGTGGAACCTGTCTCAGAGCAGTGAGAGCAGCCTCCAAGGCCACCACGAGAAAGCAACCAGGTGGGTAGTGGAAGACTCAAGGGTGACAGATGCACACACTTGTCACCCAAGGGTGTGCACTTACAGCATCCCTAGTGGCAGGTGAACCAGGAGTGTTCCAGGAAAGGCAGTCGGTGGTGCAGCCACTCTGCCCAACATGCAGGCAATCAAGAGGGATGAAAACAGGCAAACAGTTCCCCCAAAGAAGGAAAATACCAGCCACCAGAAGTGACCCCAAGGGAGTGGAAATGTGTGATCTATCTGACAGAATTCAAATAAACCACAAGTTCTGCGTGGACAAACTGACCTCTACATAAGTTCACATACAGAAGCTCTAAATTAGCAGAGACTAAAGGCAAGCAAATATTTGTCAAGGTCAATCTCCTTATACAAGTGGATTTTAACAGAAGAAATTATGTATTGGTACGAGAAATCTTTAAAATGTAGTACCAATAATAACATATACCATGCTACAATTCTTATAAAAAGGAAAAAAATGGGAGGGAAAAAAGAGACAGGTAGATTGATGGTGCCCACCAGGGAGAGAAAGGAAGAATTCGTTTCTGCAACTTTGAAATTATGAGCCAATGTGAATGGGTTACTTTTTAAAAATACGCACATTTTTTTAAAAAGTCCTCAAATAGAGAACTTTGTTTTGAAATAATAGAAACAATGTATCCAATATCTATATTTAACAATTTGATTTCTCAGTTTTTCCTACCACATTAACTGGCACACGAAGCTTTAGTTCCTGTGACATTCAATGTGTGTTTGGTGTGGTTTGGTCCACAAGACATCAGAGCACATTCCCTCAAGACAAGCTGGGACACAAACCCATCCCTGAGGTAAGTTGAGCTCACACTACACAGTGTCACAGAGGAAGGCTGTAAGGATGTATTTCCAACATCAGACAGAGGACGTAGTATTGTCACAGGGGCCGCATGGCTCCCAGAAGAGCTGCAGACCAGGCCTCGTGGACACAGGCTCACTAAGTGGCCATGAGGTCTGGGAGGCCAGGCCAGACTGTGCGGGGCACTCTGTGACCCGTACCACACACTGCTGAGTGGCCAGCCAAGTGCTCCTTGAGAGCTCTTCTGTGCTGGGACTAGGGTCAATTACTTCAATTTTCTAATTGAATTTCATAAAAACTTCACACAAGAGTCAATCATTAAAAATTACAATAAATGATGATATAGGAACATAAAATAATATTAAGCAACAAAAATAAAGGCTATGCAGCAATACTAAAAATTTCTCATAATAGCACATTCAACAAATAGGAGTAGAAAGGAAAAGATTGAGGAGTTCACTACACAAAATTCTTGTCTTCTCCCACCTTTCTCAATCTCTCTGCTTTGGCCATGCAGCTTCCCTACTTTTTCCTGAAAACATGGCCCCACCTGCCTAGCTCCAGATGTCAAGCGTCATTAAACTCTCAAACCAACACTGTACAGTCCTCAGCTAGCAACCTGCTGTATCACTCACAAGGAAATTCCTCTCTGTAAAACTCCACACTGAGCAAACAAGCCATGTGTGCCCGGCACACAGGACTGAAGCAGCCAGTGTGCAAGAGGCTGGGGCTTTGCAGGAAGTTACCTCTGCAACCCCATGGATGCTGCCCTGGCCTGAGCTCCCTAACAGCAGGAGAATCACAGGATGGTACAGTAAACTATGAACAGAAAGAGGAGAAGACATGCCAGTGCTCAAATAGAGGAGAACTAACTACCTATGAAAAGATGAGGTTTCACCCTGAAGGCATGATCGGGAGGCTCTGGATCTGTGAAGGAGTACAGTCTTTGATGATTCTTCGTTATCTGTAACTTCATTACATTTCCTTACCTATATTCACAGATAGACTTTAAAAAGAAGAACTCAAACATGTTTTCTTGCATTATCCCCTATTTTTTTCATTTTGCATTTTGATATTTTAAACAAATAAACACTTCCTGGGTTGCAAGTCTGTAACTGTACCTATACTAGGATCCAATCATGTTGTAAGAAAAGGAAAAAGCTAACCACCATCACAAAAATGACTAATGGCATAACACCAGGAAGCAAATATCCACAGGAATAAATTATTGGATTTGCTTTTCTGGGATTTTCTCTTAAAATTAGAACTAAGACTATCATTTTTGGTGTCCACCACGATGTTCTGACATGTGTGCACATTATGGGACAGATTATCATTTTTTCTGCTGGGACAATAACTTTGAAGTATATGACACGTTGTTGCTAACTTCAGTCACCATGTTACACAGCAGACCTCCTAAACTTATTCCTCTCAACTGAAATTTTGTATTCTTTGACTAACATTTTCTTAATGTCCCCAATTCTTTGCCACTTTATAGTTTCTTAAATTTATTTTTATAGTAAAAATAAACTTTACTTTTTTAAAAGCCCACAAAATATACTCAAACACACTGTGCCATTCACATTAAACAGGATCTCTACAGGAAAGAATAAACTAAAGAACACAAACATAAATCCCTCTATTTAAATTAAGTCTGACAAGAAAGGAGAAAGTATTCTTTGGAACAAAGTAAGATTCAGATTCTTACTCTGCTAAACTCAGATGAGTGATTTTATAGCTTTCAACCACTGACAGGAAGAAAAAGAAACCACAAAGTCAATTTCTAAATGCAACACCACTGAGTTATGACATGATGTACACTCAAACCAAAAATAGATCCTAACACAAGCCCGCAATCTGAGAAAATTAGGCTCCTAGCAAGTATCTCGAGATGAATCAAGATGCAGATAGATCTTAATTTACTAAAAAAAAAAAAAATGTATCTGAGCAGCTTTCAAAGTGCAGCAGCCAAGCAGATGGATGTGGGCCAGAAAGGACTGCTCTGCCGGCCACAGAGGCCATGGATGACACAATATCAGGGGTGACAGCCACTGCACTCAGGACCCGGGGAGAGCCCAATGGTTCTACTCCATTACGCTCCACAAAATACCAATAAAAAATAGTAGAAAAATGAAAAACAAAAAACAAAACAAAACAGCAATCTAAACATTTGGTTATTATTAGATGCAACCAAGATGGAAACCTAGTCACTTAAAAAAGTAATCTAAATTTTTTGTTTTACTCCTCACATTAGTAACTAAGGTACCAAGTTCCAAGATCCTTCACCCAAGCAGCCACATCCGCATCTTAACCACCAGTCCAAAAGCTGAACACATTGATAAAAACATCAGATGACATTTGATATTTGGAGTAGAAGAAAACACTAACCTGGAAAACCTAGTCACAAAGCTACAGCAGAGTGGGTCTGAAGTCCAGAGTCAGAGACCTGGCTATCCATCTGTTTGGCCTATGTCCAGCTGTGGGGTTCCTGGAAAATTACCTAATTTTTCTAGGCGTTGGTTTCCCTATCAGCCTCCTACACAGGATCTCCAACACCACAGAGATATGTGAGTTGAGAATGTAGCCCCAGCCCCAAAGCATCTAGTCAGAAGCATACTGCACTCTGCACAAAGCACCAGGAGAGATCTACAGCAGCACCAAGCCCACAGGTGCCAACTGCCAAGTTCAACAGTGGCTTTCTACTCAGGTGTCCAATGCTATAACGCATCTTTTATTTTTAGAAGTGTTGTAGAGGGAAGAGGGAATGGAGAGGAGGGAAGACTACAAATTAAAAGAATTAGGTAAGCAACATGGCAATATGTTCAAAGTGGAGAGGATGAAAGAGCAATGGCGATGGCAGCCAAGAGAAGCAAATCATAATACCCTATGTGCAGCCCTGCACCTTCCTATGCCAAACAAGAACCATTTACTGCAAGTGACAAGAAATTGTCACACCAGGCCGGGGATTTAGCTCAATGGTTCTGCCACCTGGATCAAAAGCACAAGGTCCTGAGTTTGATCCCAGGTACCAAAAAAAATAAATAAATAAAAAGAAAGAAAATAGTCATACCAAAATAAACACCAAAAAGAAAAATATCCCATGGACTGCAAAATATCACAAATACAAGCTGAAGACATTAGCCACATACACAGCACAAGTATCTCCAAAAGCATGTATGAATGAAGAGGCACAACAGGAACATGTCTGTTACCACTGTCACTCAGGCGGAGATGTACTGGGTGCCTTCACTCCCTCAAGCAAACAGAGAACATCCTGGGACAGAAGAAAACTGAGAGGCTCCCCCAGGGTCCCTGCAGCATGCTCACATAACAAAGACCACAGGAAACTGCAGGAAGTGAGACTCTGGACAGAGTTCCATTTTTAATATATATATGTCACTGACAACTCAATTACATTAACTGCCAAAGTATTTTTAAGCATCTGAATTATAAAAACTAGTAGTGTCTGATATATAAAACCAGTAGTGGCATTACACACTCAGATCAGACAAGGATAGGAAAATCATCCCAGTTTTATTTCCTCACACAATTGAAACTTACCAGACTCTACCGTCATCTGCAGCAAACTGTCCATGACATTAGAGAGGAGGCCCTTGCTGGATATTCGCAGATGCCCGAGAATCACTGGAACTGCTTGATACTCCAAAAACAAGGCTTTACCTTCATCTGTCTTCAAGTCCAAGCAAAGGGAGTCAAATGCCTGGGCCAGGTGATCAGCTGGAAAATAATGGGAAGCCACCTGTGTGTCAGTGATCAGACTGGTAAAAAAAACAGGTGGAAGAGAACATCGTCACTGAGTCAAAATCAAAGAGAGCAAAGATTCATGGCAGGTCACTGGCTAAACCTAGATACACATCCCTAACTTGTTAGAACCAAATGGGGAAGAGGAGAGGTATCACACTACGATATGGTAAATTTCATTTATAATTTCTGTATTTTAGCAGTTAAATTACAAGTCCATTTCTTATAGCAACAAAGAAATGATTAATATTAAATACCATGAGTACTATTTTCCATATTTGACAATACTTGCTTCCAAATAAACAGCATAGTAGTCCATTTCCAAGTTCTAAGATTGTATTTTTTGTTACTGCTGCTTTCTAAATAACTATTTCAAATTGTAACTTTATACAAGCTAAGTGATGTTAAGCAAGGGTTTCTGTCTCACTCTAAGGTGGAAACATTGAGCCTCCAGAAATGGGATGCATTAATGGGTTACTTTTAAACCCTTCTGTAACACATGGCATTAAGGGTGGAGCAAGGCCTTAGCAAGAATGGTGCAGTGATGGCACCTGCCAGCTCAGGCCTGGGGATCCTCTCACAGATGTTCCCCAGTGAGGAGGAGGCTCAGAGACAGGATTGAGACAATGAGGTAAGCAAAATCCCCATCACTGCACCCATCAGTCAGTAGCTAAGTCATACCATCATGAATGTCACTATTGCTACCACGTGGCAGCCAGAGCTCGTGCTCTGAAATGTAAAACCTCCTTCAAACTCCCTCTCCAGGGATGAAACACTGTAGTACTGAGTGCAGAGTGCTAACCCCAGAGAAGGTCTGGGAGCACCTGGAGGTGTGTGGGAGTCCTGCGGGTCCTGACTGAGGCCACCAGCATCCCAGCCGGCAGCTGTATGGGTGACACAAATGCCAAGGAAATGGTTAAAAATGAAGTCACTCAGAATGATTTGCTGAGAGAAATGGTAGGAAATTAGAATGAAGGGATTCTGAGAAAGACCTGTACTCATTAGTCTACTTACAGTCACTCCATTTTCACATTTGGTAGAACTCAGGTCAAGGAACACAAACATTACCACATTTTAATTTTGTAATTAAAAAATAAACAAAAATAAATGAATAAACATTGCAAATGTACACTAAGTTAAGTAAAGCTGCTAAAGTCTGTTCAGATTTGGCTTACTGAGAAATACATCTTTGTTTTTTTTAAGCCAGATATGGTTGTGCATACCTGTTAATCTCAGAACTCTGGGAGACTGAGGCAGAAAGGTTGCAAGTTTGAGTAAAACTTAGTGAGACCCTGTCTCAACATAAAAAAGGCTAGGAATGCGAAAAAGGCCCTAGGTTCAATCCCCAGTACTGCATTTGTTTTTATTTATTTATTTGTTTATTTATTTATTTATTTTCTTGTATGAATTAGTCTTCTAGGCAGAAGACTAGAAGATGAATGCTAAACTTTTTACAGAAACTAAAGTTTTATCACAGTGCCACCTAATGTAACTGATACAAATTACTTATTAATTTTGAATGTGGTATTTTTTAAGTTTACGAGCTAAAGATAATGTCCTTTAATAGTTTTTGAACAAATTGACCTTATCTTTCAAAGATAAATCAAATATGTCCTCGTTTTAATTTTTCTAATAGTGAAATTTTCTAAAAATAAGACCAATTTAACTTCCAAAAGATTTTTTTAAGTCTGTTATCAATTATAACCAAAACTTACTTCTTTTTACAAATATGCTGTATTACTGGGTTTTTAAAGGTCCTGACATTCAAATGTATTCTTATTCTTCACTAAAAGTCAATCTGTTCATTTTAATCAGTATGAAATAGGGCTGTTATTTCATCTACATAGCAGATTTAAGGGGTAATCAGATTCTCTCTGCTCCTGAACCCTGGGCTCACCTCTAGCTGGCTGGGAAGTGCAGCAGGACTGGTCTATGGTCAGGAGTTCATGGCTGAGGGCCCATGGACAGAAGGCCAGCTACAGGAACCTGTGGTAAAAGCATCTGTGGTCAGGAGCCTACCTGCAGAAATCTGTGGTCAGGGAGCCTGTGATAAGGAGCCCATGGTCAGGGATACCATGATCAGAAGCCCCATGTCTACCCAGCCTGTGCCCAAGAAGATAGGCCAGCCACAAACAAGGAGCTTGGCTAATGGCTCCCCAAAGAATTGTAAGCTAGTAAATAAAGTGCTTGTTGCTTTATGATTTTTAATTGTTTGGTGGCATATCATACAGCAGTCCTAACTCTTTTTTTTTTGGTACCGGGGATTGAACTGAGGATGTTGTGCTTGGGAGGCACTATGCCTGAGCTAACTCTCAGTTCTAACTCCTAAAAAATTAAATGTTATGAATAATAATGTGTATCAATACAATAGTGTGTATTGATAATGGTAGCAGCTAGCTTATTAAATTATTATATGCCAAACTTCTGCTAAACCTTTATATGAATTCTCTTGTTTAACCCTCAAAAACTGGGGTAGAACAGCAAAGTGCCTGCCCAGAGTCACAGGGTTCATAATAAAGGAGCATGAAATGTATTTTCAACTACAGAGTTGAAGTTCTTAACTATTACACTGTATTGACTTCCTACCAAATCAGAATGTGTTGAGGTCTAAGAGCACTTCTCTAGGGCAGAAGCCCAAGTCCATACCTTAAAAATAGATAAATCTTTGTAACCTGAGGGCCAACTGCCAAGTAGGGCAGGGCAGAATTATCTCTAATCACACATTTTTAAAGAGCAGCATATATTTAATTACACCTAGAAGAAATCTGTCACTAAACCAAGTAACTTTATCAGCTAACATTCTCATGGCCCCTTTTCACCAATTACCTCAAAATGTAACTCACAGATTAGTGTATATACTAAACACTTTCATGTAATCTCCATGTCTGCACACTTATACTCTTAACAACATGGACACTGTGCCATCCCAAGGATGCTGTGATGGACCAGTGTCCGGGTCACAGATCCCTGGGTCCTCTATGCTACTCTTTTGTGGAGATAACCTCTGAAGACAAATCTGAGCTGGCTGAGCACAGGGGTGCACACAGCCAGCGCCAATCGGGTTGGGATGGCTCCTGCCCTTCAGGACTCCAGCTCTGCTTCTGTCAGTTCTTTTCCCTCAGTATTACAAAGAGCACCTTAACACTTTGAACTTTCTCCTTTTTGAATTATTTCCTTGCAATAAATTCCATTAAAGGCTATGATGCATCATGGTGGTAGACATGAGTAGAATGCACTTCAGCAAGGGCTGTAATTCACATGACAATGATAGCCGTGTCCTCATCCACCCCACACTTAGGATGAATAATTACACCAACAACACTCAACTAAGACCAGAGTCAATTATGCATTTGTGCACTGAGGTGGGAAGGTAAAATAAAGGTGAATATTTCTAAATATGATAAAACTAAAATATAATTAATCTGATTTTTCAATTTCTATTTCATATCTTGAATTTAAAATTACATTGTAAGATATAAGCACTTTTTAGAAATAATTAACAACAAAAAAAATCTCATTAAAAACTGTTAGAGTTTGTCTATCTTCTCATGGAAGCTTTCCTCAAAAGGCTACAGGATAGAGAAACACTTACATTGGTTTTATAAAAAAGGCATATCTTAAGAGCTGGGCATGGTAGTGCACACCTGCAGTTCCAACACTCCAGGAAGCTGAGCCAGGAGGAGCACAAATTCAAGACCAGCCTGGGCAACTCAGCAAAACCTTGTCTCAAAGAATAAAAAAAGGCTGGAGATATATAGCTCAGTACAAAGGCTCTGGTTCAATCCCCATTAATACCAAACACACATACACACACACACACACACAAAGAGGCACCTGTGGCTAGAAAGAAATTTAAATTTTCAAACATTAAAATAACTTAGGAATTGCACAAAAAATAAATGAGACAGCCATAAAGCAAGAAGGATTAACAAGAAATACTATGTGATCTCTGAATGGAGACTATTACTGATAATCACACAAAGTCCATGGATTAACCTTGGATGAGGACAGTCCCCTTGATCCAGTGACACAGGGCCCCACTTTCAAGCACTGAGCTCATATCAGCTCTCAGTACTGGAGTCTTTGGGGTGCTTCATAAATTATAGACTAATCAGGAAATTCAGGAAGCACAACAGATATTATATAACTAAATGAATTAAAACGTAAGTCTGGCAAAATCAACCACAAACATGACACACTGGAAAAGTTTGTATCAAATATGAGAGACAGAGGATCTATATTATTTTTTAAAATAACAAAAAATAAATCATTCAACACAAAAAATTGAATACATGAATAAAAATTTAATTAGAGAAAATTCAAATCACAAAAAAAATATGAAAACATGGTCAAGCTCACCAGATGTCAACAAGATGTGAATAAAAATCATATAAACCATGTTTTTACTTAGGGAAATTAGCAAACATTAAAATTGCAATAACACTAGATCTGGAATGGGTGTTTTATGTAACTGTATGATTGATACAGCTGCAAGGATACAATAGCTACAATCCTTTTAAGAATTTGGAAATGTCTGCTAAAATTAAAATGCAGCCAGACATGGTGGCGCATGCCTATAATCCCAGCATTCAGGAGGCTGAGTCAGAAAGATTACAATGAGGTTGAGACCAGCTTGAGCTAAACAGTACATTCAAGGTCAGCCTGAACTTCATGGAGAGACCTTGTCTCAAAAAACAAAAATAAAATAAAATTTAAAAATAAAATTAAAATGCACATGTTCTTTCATATATCTAAACTTGGTAAATTTACTGTAATTTAAAAAGCTCCCAATGTATCAGATACATCTCAGGAAATATGTCCTTATTCGTAGTAGTAAAAAATAGAAAACAAGAACCAGACATTTAGCTCAGTGGTGCCACCGCTTGCCTCGCAAGAACAAGGACCCAAGATTGATCACAAGTACCAAAAAAAAAAAAAAAACAGGAAACAAGGAGCAGGGTTAAATACCAGTTGGC